TCCTGTCCCTGCTTGGTGTCCCAGTGGTGGCTTTTGTCACCGGGAGGTGACATCGGCCCGGGAGGTCCCCAAGGGTTTTTGGGTGATTTTGGGTGATTTTGGGTGGTTTTAGGGCATTTTGGGGGGATTTTGGGGTTCCTGGTGACCCCAAAGTTGTTCCCAGGTGGACTCAGGTCTTGGCCCCCCTTGGTGTCCCAGTGGTGGCTTTTGTCACCAGGAGGTGACATTGGCCCTGGAGGTCCCCAAGGGTTTTTGGTGGGGTTTTGTTGTTTCGGGTGATTTTTGAGCGAATTTTGAAGGTTTTGGGGTGATTTTTGATGATTTTTGGGGTAATTTTAAAGATTTTGGTGTCCCTGGTGACCCCAAAGTTGTCCCCAGGTGGCCTCAGGTCCTGTCACCTCTGGAGGTCACCACAGTGGTGGCTTTTGTCACCGGGAGGTGACATCGGCCCTGGGGGGTTTTGAGGGTTTTTTGTTGGGTTTTGGGCTGTTTTGATGGGGATTTTTTTGGGGATAATTTCGGGGATTTTGGGGCATATTCCCCATCCCCATCCCTGATCCCGGAATTCCCTCCAGGGTTCCTGGTGCTCCACGTGGACGAGGAGCAAGGCCAGCAGCTGGACCTGGACCAGCTCATCTCCGGTGAGTGAGAATTCCCCAAAATTTTTGGTTTTTTGGGAATTCCAAATTTTTAAGGAAAAAAAAAAATCTACATTTTGTAGGATCTGAACTTCAATTCTGGGGAAAATCCTGCATTTTTAGGGCCAAATGCCTCATTTTTAGGGAAGAAAATCCCATTTTTAGGCAAAAAAACCCTGCATTTTGTAGGATCAAAACTTCAATTTTTGGGGGGGAAAATCTCATCTTTCTGGGGCAAATTTCCCGTTTTTAGGATCTAAACTTCAATTTTTAGGGCAAAATTTCATTTTTTAGATTGTAAACTTTCATTTTTAGGAAAAATCATGTATTTTTAGGGCCAAATTAATAATTTTAAGGGGAAGAAAAAATCCCATTTTTCAAATCGTAACTTCAATTTGGAGGAAAATCGCGCATTTTTAGGGCAAATTCTTCATTTTTCGGGAAAAAAATTTGCATTTTTAGGGAAATCTACATTTTACAGGGTCTGCGCTGCTTTCATTAAACTTCCCAAAATTCAGGTGGAATTCTCACATTTTTAGAACTAATTCCCCATTTTTTAGGGAAAAGAATCCCAAATTCTTCCTTTTTTTGGGGCAAAATTCCATTTTTTCGGATCTAGACTTTTCTTTTTTGGGAGAATCCCACATTTTTAGGGCCGAATGCCTCATTTTTAAGGGGAATAATCCCATTGTTAGATCAAAACTTTTTCATTTTTTTTGGAAAATCCCCCATTTTTAGGGCAAATTTTCCATTTTTATATTTTAAACTTCAGATTTTTAGGGCCAAATGCAACTTTTAAGTTAAAAACTTCATAAAGTTTTCTAAACTTTCATTTTTTGGGGAAATTCCACATTTTTAGGGCCCAATTCCTCTTTTTTGTCAGCAAAAATCCCATTTTTACGATCTAAACTCTCATTTCTGGGGAAAACCCCCCCATGTTTTTAGGGCCAAATCCCCATTTTTAGGGGAAAAAAAAAAATACATTTTGTAGGACCTAAACTTCAATTTTTGGGAAAACCCCACATTTCTAGGGCAAAATTCCTCATTTTGAGGGGAAAATTATTCATTTTGAGGGGAAAAAAAAAAAATCCCATTTTTAGGGAAAAAATCCCATTTTCAGGCCAAAATTCCTCATTTTTAGGGGAACAAAATCCCATTTCTCAGGCCAGAATTCCTTCTTTTTAGGGAAAGAAAAAATCCCATTTTGCAAAATTCCATTTTGCATGACAGAATTCCTCATTTTTAGGACAGAAATCCCCATTTTTAGGGGATAAAACCCCCATTTTTAGGAAAAAAATCCCATTTTCCAGGCCAAAATTCCTCATTTTTAGGACAGAAATACCCATTTTTAGGGAAAAAAATTCCATTTTTAAGAAAAAAACCCAAATTTTCAGGCCAAAATTCCTCATTTTTAGGCAAAAAACTCCCATTTTTACGGAATAAAAAAAATCCCATTTTTCAAGCAATAATTCCTCATTTTTTGGGTTAAAAAAATCCCTATTTTAGGGGAAAATATCCCATTTTTAGGGAAAAAAATCCCATTTTTAGGGAAAATGCCCCATTTTTCAGGCCAAAATTCCTCATTTTTAGGGTAAAAAAAAATCCCATTTTTAGGGAAAAAAAATCCCATTTTCCAAGCAATAATTCCTCATTTTTTGGGTTAAAAAAAAAATCCCAATTTTAAGGAAAAGTATCCCATTTTTAGAGAAAAAAATCCCAATTTTTAGGGTAAAAAAATTCCCATTTTTAGAGAAAAAAATCCCAATTTTAGAGTAAAAAATCCCATTTTTAAGGGGAAAAAATCCCATTTTTAGGGAAAAAACCCCCTATTTTTAGAGTAAAAAACCCATTTTTAGAGTAAAAAATCCCATTTTTAGGGAAAAAAAATCCCATTTTTAGGGAAAAAATACCATTTTTAGAGTAAAAAAATCCAATTTTTAGGGAAAAAAAAACCCCCTATTTTTAGGGAAAAAAATCCCATTTTTAGAGTAAAATATCCCATTTTTAGGGAAAAAACACCCATTTTTAGAGTAAAAAATCCAATTTTTAGGGAAAAAAACCCCCCTATTTTTAGGGAAAAAAAAACCCCTATTTTTAGGGAAAAAAATCCCATTTTTAGAGTAAAAAATCCCATTTTTAGGGAAAAAACACCCATTTTTAGAGTAAAAAATCCAATTTTTAGGGAAAAAAAAACCCCTATTTTTAGGGAAAAAAAAAACCCTATTTTTAGGGAAAAAAATCCCATTTTTAGAGTAAAAAATCCCATTTTTAGGGAAAAAACATCCATTTTTAGAGTAAAAAATCCAATTTTTAGGGAAAAAAAAACCCCTATTTTTAGGGAAGAAAATCCCATTTTTAGAGTAAAAAATCCCATTTTTAGGGGAAAAAAAATCCCATTTTTAGGGAAAAAAACCCCCTATTTTTAGAGTAAAAAATCCCATTTGTAGAGTAAAAATTCCCATTTGTAGAGTAAAAATGCCCTTTTCGGTGCGGAATGGCTCCTCTTGGGATTTGGGGACTTGCGGGCGCAGCTCCCGGGCGGGGCCCCGGGCTGAGGTCACCTCTTGGATTTCGGGGAATTTTTCCCTCCCGGCTGAGCTCATCCCCTGGAGCCGGGCCCGGAAAATTCCCGACCTTTCCAAGGCGGCCGCAGCCGCTCTAAAAAAGGGAAAAAGTCGCTTTTCCCTCCGCTCCCAGGGCCTCGGGAGAAAAGGGACAGCCGGAATTCCCGCCCGGAATTCTCGCCCGGAATTCGGGGAATTTTTGGGCTCCGAGCCCCACGGGAATGAGGGAGAATCCCCAGGAACGGGGGATAAAAAAAGGAAAAAAACTGGAAAAAATTCCCTGGACGCGATCCCGGCTCCCGGGAGCCGCTCCAGGCTTTGGGAATGGGGGCTGGGAGGGGTTTGGCCGGGAAAATCCCGGGGGATCCGTTCCCAATCCAGCCCCGAATTCCCAAATTTTCATTTTTTGGGATCATCCCAAGCTTTTACTTTTAGTTTTTTTGGGATCATCCTGAACCTTTCGTTTTAATTTTAGGCTTTTTGGGATCATCCCAAGCTTCTCCTTTCAATTTTTCTGGGATCATCCCAAACTTCTTCTCCTTTCAATTTTTCTGGGATCATCCCAAACTTCTCCTTTCAATTTTTTTGGGATCATCCCAAACTTCTCCTTTCAATTTTTCTGGGATCATCCCAAACTTCTCCTTTCAATTTTTCTGGGATCATCCCCAGCCTTTTCTTTTATTTTTAGGGTTTTTTGAGATCATGACAAACATTTAATTTTAATTTTTTGGGATCATCCCGCACCTGTAATTTGAGGCTTTTTGGGATCGTCCCGAGCCTTCACTTTTGATTTATTTGGGCTCATTGTGAATATTCCGTAATTTTAGATTTTTTTTGGATGAGTCTGTGTCTTTTATTTGAATATTTTGGGATCATCCCAAGCCTTTATTTTTGATTTTTTTGGCTCATCCCGAGCCTTTCATTTAAATTTCATTCCATTCCAATTTTTGCTCTTCCCACTGGAAAAAAAAAAGAAAAAAAATATCTTGGGACAAACAGGGAGAAAGAAGGAGCCGAGCTGGGAAAATCCCGAATTTTCCTCCCTTTTCATCCCACTTTTCTCCCACCGGAATCTTTCCCTGTCAGTCCTGAAATCCTGGATAATGATAGGAATGAAATCCTCATTTTTTTGGGAAAACAATCCACAAAAATTGCCCCGGATCCGGCAAATCCGTCAGGACTGGGAATTTCCTGGGAATCCGGGGCGGGACTGGGAGCGGATCCCACGGGATTTTCCCGTTCCCAAATCCTGGAGCGGCTCCTGGAGCTGGGAATTGATCCGGGGGGGATGCAGCGGAATTCCAGTGGGAAAAAAGTGGGAATGTGATGGGAATAAAGCAGGAATCCGCTGGGAACGCCATGGGAATAATGGGAATGCCATGGGAAAATGGTGGGAATCCCTGGGAATTCCCGGAGTTTCCAGTGCCGTGTCCTGGGCCAGGGGATCCCCATCCTGATCCTGATCCCGATCCTGATCCCCATCCTGATCCTGATCCTGATCCTGATCCTGACCCTGATCCTGACCTTGATCTCGATTCTGATCCCGATCCTGATCCTGATCCCGATCCCGATCCTGATCCCGATCCTGATCCCGATCCTGATCCTGATCCTGATCCCGATCCTGATCCTGAT